TTAGTATATATATATATATATATATATATATATATATATATGTGTGTGTGTGTGTGTGTGTGTAATTAAAATAATATTTTGATAGATATTGATAAATAAATATTGTACTTATGGAAAGTCTAAAAAGATCTAGAATTTCGATGTTGCCGTAGAATGTCCCGTAGAAATTCCACCAAACGCGGATACAAATTGGCATCTCGTTCGGAGAAGGGGAGTCTTTTCACTCTGCTGACAAGATAAATGAATTGTGTACAGTCACGGATCCATCCTAGAATCGTCTGGGAGGTTACTAAGCCGGCAAAGATGAAAGAGATCACAGTTGGAAGGAGGGGATGGAGGATTACTTGAAGGTCTGTAAGTCGATCGTTCTGAACGGTACGGGACGACCCGTACGAAAAAAAAAAAAAAAAAAAAAAAAATAGAAAAACTGGGGCAGAAATAACACGACCTCGCGGAGGGGTGAGGAACGAAAAGGGACACCGTCTATTAAACGCCCACGAAATCGCGAGTGTGTGAGTCGAACTGCTGAAACTGTCGAGATGAAGTGACGCCTTTGTTCGGCGAACGTGTCGGATTGTTTTTCTCGCGTACGAATCGTGTCGCACGGTATAAGTATCCATGTAAGTTGAGGGATGTCAACTGCGGGCGAGGAAGGAATGCGACATTCTAATGTCGGGGATTGACTTTGCGAAGACGAATAATTAATCTCGCATACATTGATACTCGATAACAGTAAACAGTATCCTATTTACCAACGTAACGTACGTTGATTTGTCATGAAATATCTCCTCTTCACATTAATAAGAAAGGGACAGAGATCGTGGCTCTTTAATTAAACTGTATACATGGTGGAATAAAATATCGATGCAATTTTTTTTACATTTATAATTTTAGATGCTTAATTTTTTTATAATCTCACGTCAAATGTATAATCTAGCGCAATAATAATTAACGTATATGCCTTCTCTTTGACAGAGATATCACGCAGAATTTCCGCGTGATCATTACAGTTGTCGTTTTTGTCGTTGTGAACGATACCCGGTTCATCCACAGGCGAATCGAAAAAAATCAGAACAGAAATTATATGCCTCGCAGGGCTAAGCGTTCGCGATCAGTCAGTAATTCTTCAAGTTTTGAAACCTGATATTAGCCGCAGGATGAATGATTACCAGGTTTGCTGCGACCGGCACTAGAACGGAGTCGTGATAAATCTGTTATCACACCATGATTTTTCATCGCAAAACGCCATTGTTTGAATTAAACATTTTCCAGAAATAATCATAAGGTGTGCCTTATAAACTACGTATAGTTACATTGTGATTTACTAGCTGTTTGCTGAAAAAAATTCTATTTTTATGCAAAAACATCCAAAATATAAAAATATGTAAAATGTGAATCGCCAATGTATGTGAACAATAATCGTGATGTCAACTATCTATCTAAACAAGATCGAGATCTCGATCGCTCCACCTTTATTTGTATTTTTGTCGCTCGATACTCGAGTAATACTCCATTCCATCGTTGCATTTCAAGGGAAGGGAATGATTACCTATGAGGTCCTGGCGAGGCTTTTGTCGAGGCTATTTTTGATCGCACGTGGACACGTGGCACAATCGTGGCCTCAAGTTTGTTGGACCACGTCGTCGCTCACACTATTTCCATCCGCACGCGGATAGGTGTCGGTGAATTTGACGAAAC